CGAAATCTGGTCTTAATATAGAAGATTTTTTCTGTAAAATAATTCACTTGAAGCAAATTGGAAAAGTAAAATAGCTTGAAAAATGACTAAATAAGTAAATAAATAAATAATAGTTATTATAAACTGTACTATAGATATTTTTTTTGTTAAATAAGTATGCAGGATATTTGGGATAGAGATAGAGAAGGTTAATTTCAATCGAGTGAGGAAATTTCTATCAAAAACATCCCTACTATGTTTATTCATTAAAAAAACTCAAAAAAGTATAAAATAACTCAATAAAGATTTAATTAAATACACCTCTTAAATAAACCTAATATCTTTAATATTAATAAAATACTAATATTTGTATGTGCTACAAGTACCTATTGATAGGTTTGAAGTCGGTGCCTTTAGTATAGGATGTCTCAGATCGCGGCGAGTGTAGGTACCTACTGTTATATTTGGCTTGGCACCGACTTCAAACCTATCAATAGGCCAAAGTATGTTAAATTTTTATGGGACCAAATGGCAACTATTCCGAATTAAACTAAAAAGGAATCACGTAAATCGGATCATAAATCTCAGGCGTAATCGGTGTAAATACATTAAAAAAATACCAATTGAATTGAGAATCTCCTCCTTTTTGAAGTCGTTTAAAAAGAGAATTACAGTATAAGTAAAAGTATCTCTATTGATGTCTAAAAAGTATGTATTTTTGTCTGTTACAAAGAGACAAAAATGATAGACATGCATTCCTAAACCACTTGGCCGATTACGGTGAAACTTTGGTAATTTATTTTGTGATCAACAAGATATGCGATTGTAAGTTTTCTGTTGTAAGTTATGTATTAAATGATGATAATAAATTAGTGATAATAATAAATGATCATAGAAATATTCTTAGGTGTGTGTTAGCTCTAACTGCCTAAATAGTTAAAAGTAATAGAAATTTGACAAGAAGCTATGAATATTCATGCATAGTTTTTACCCGTAACGGTGACATAAAAATTGTATTGTTCTTTAAAAAATAGACGTTCCATAACAATTAACTTTTAAAACAAAAGATTGAATTATTTTTAGAAGCAACCGCGAGTAGCTACCGTAACGTAGAGCACAATTTAAGAAATAGGTCCTTCACTTTCGAAATTATTTAACACTAGCGACTCACCCTCGCTTCGCTCGGATTCGTCCCTAGGGTGCGTATACAACTTCCCTATTTGGATCGGATATTATTAAATTTTTCATTGATTTAATTGGGGACCCTATTTTTTTTTCTAAAATAAAAGTAGCCAAGTTACTCCTTATTATATCAGCTATCTGCCAGTGAAAGTCCCGTCAAAATCGGTTTAGCCATTTCAGAGATTAGCCGGGACAAACAGACAGACAGACAAAAATTGTAAAAAGTGTGGTTTTGGTATATGTATCGTGTATACGTTCATATGCATTTAGTAAAAAGCTGTTATTTTGACATTTCAAACAGACATTTCAATTTAATTTATCTGTATAGATTTGTTGTTGAGTAATGTTACCATCGTATAAATATTGACAAATATTCACACTAATATTTATACGATACTAACGTCACTCAATTGTTTTGCCTTCCCGGAACCTCTCCACTAACACTTAAACTTTATACTATGGTATTAAAGGTCAAATTGACTTTTGAGTATTATTACGAATTTTTTTTATGGGAGTAAAGAAAAGTGTTGTTTTTAGACTTTTTCAGACAATTTTTAAAATTTTTCTCTTCGTAAGAACCAGCCTTGTACTTCAAGGAATATTTTAAAAAAAGAATTAGCGAAATCGATTCAGCTGCTCTCGAGATTTGCGATTACCAACACATTCAGCGATTCATTTTTATATTATAGAGATTATATTATTTACAGCCTCTACACCTCTACACACCGTATAGAAATTACTTTATATAGCCTCTAAAATAAACTGAGCCTAGCTTTTTTTAGTCTTAGCTTATTTTAAATAAATTCAAATTGGCCTTGCTTAGTTTTGGAATTATTTTCATGCCTTAATCATCTATACATATAATAAAATTGTAACTAAGACGAAACTGTACATTAAATATTTTTGGAAAATCTTCTTGAAATAAGTATTATTATCTCGGCCGAATCTATAGTTTTTAGAATTTACGTCTGTCTGTTTGTTACCGCATCACAGAGAAACCACTGGAGGGATTTTGATGAAATTTGGTATGGTGATTACTGGTTATCCGGGTCAACATATAGAATATTTTTTACCGCGGGAAAATATCTCATTTCTGAGAAAAATACAAAAATTGCAATGTAAGAGTATACTTATATATAAAACCTAAGAATTTGTTATTGGTCATCTGAACGCGGGCGGAGCCGCAGGCAATGCTAGTAGAATATAAAATGTAAATCCGTAATGTATTTTTTTTATTAAGTGTACATATGATATAGTATTAGAATGATTTTTCAGTTATTCGCCCCTGTTTGCCAATTGATTTTCTTTTTTTTAGTAGCCATTGCCGAGCTTCAGTGTTATCACTAAAAATCTTGGACAGTTACTTTTTTAATATAGATAGGTAAATTCTAAATTCTATTCATACTTTACCTATGTTGTCCTCGAATTTTAATAATAATTATATTCGAATTTAAACCACTAGGCAAACACTAGTTTACGACGACGCATTTGGCTCAGTTTGTAGAGACCCTACTTGCTGTGCTAAAGGTCGCGGGTTCGAGTCCCGCTAGGGGCATACATTTGCGTGATAAGCAAAAATGTTTGTACTCCAGTCATAGGTGTTTATATTTATAATATGTATGTATTTAAAGTTATATATAAGTGTAGTGTATCAACTATCTGTTATGCATAACAAACCTCGTAGCCTACCATGGAACTAGATGGTACTGTGTTCCAATATAAAAAAATAAAGAACAATACCAATGAGTATTTAAGAACTAGATAGTGTAGTGTAGATGAAAAAAAAACGCTAAAAACATCAAAGATATATTAATTTGTAAAATAAAGTGGCAATTTAAATGCGAGATGAAATATGAAAATTATATATCCATTGATTTATTTTTAAAATTTGTATATTATTAATAGTACCTGGGCTACCGAGCTTCGCTCGGAGTTTTTGGCCTAAAGTACAATTTTCGTTTTTTTTTAAAACTCGATCTATTAAAACTGCGATCGAGAATTGAACCTGGACATATATATACAAGAATTGCTCGTTTAAACATATAAGATAAATATAGGTATTACTAACATACATATATTATAAAATTTAAACAACTAAAAAATATATAAAAAAAATTGTATACCTAGTTAAAAATTTAAAACATAATTATGTTATGAATAGGTATAATAATAACTAATTATACTTATATTTAATTAATTCCCTAGAGAATTTAGGCACGTACGAGTATATTTTAAGGTTGTTTTGTAAATCGTAAACAGGTAATATAAAGTTAGTTTAACCTAATTTTTTAGGCTTGATTTCTATATTGCGTTTTTTTATCTATACATAAAATGCTGACTGAGTCGAATCTGTACCTACATTAAATATTTTTTGAAAAATCTTATTGAAATAGTCATTATTATCGATGCAGAGGCTGAATCTGTAGTTTTTAGAATTTTTGTATGTCTGTGTGTGTAAGAACGCATCACGAGAAAATCACTGGACAGATTTTGATGAAATTTGGTACGATGATAGCTAGGATCCGGATAGATAGATCCGGATCAACATTTAGGAACTTTTTTTTAGGAAAATATCTCATCTGAGAAATCTATATTAACCTTAAAACGTAGGAACGAAGACTCAGACTAGTTAGTTAGTTTAAGTTACATAAATAATTAAGATGACGTAAAGTTAGGTGTAAGCGACTGCTTCGCATTGCGTAGATACACTACGAGTATTATTTGAGATTTGGATCTAACAAAAGTTTCAGTTCAAACTTTAATCTTTTATTTAGGCTCTTTTTTTCTTTAATGGCTTAGAATTAAACAGATGCAATATATTCTGCCAGTGTCACGTATTGTGATTATTTATGCTCTATTAAATGAATCTTTATATTGAACATTGTATAGATAGAAAAATGAAATATAATATTGATCATATTGTAAGAGGTATTGAATAAAAAAAAAGTTAGCATAAAACTGGTTTTTTTATTATTCTGTTTCCAGCACACAAACAAAATATTGTTACAAAAATACAATAAAATCAGCATAATGCCTTTTACGCATTTCACAATTTTTCATATAGAATGCCCTACATTGTTTTACATTTGTAAAATTTGCCCAACAAACTAAAATTACAGTAAACCTAATTAGAAATAAATAAATAAAATAATAAATCTTTCCTTTTATTGTTATAAATACACTCTGCCTTAACGTAGCGTTAGAATACTCTGTATGCAGTATTTGCAACGCTTGCTAGTAGGTAACTTCACCGTAACTTCAAATTTACATACTACATATTTAAAATTATTGATCTATAACATAATTATTAGTGACTTGAACCTTGGTTTTGTACTAAAGAGATACAGTCTCATGATTTAACTAGTGGGCGTCCGCGACTTCGTCTGCGTTACAAGGGACGATGTTAGATTAAAAAAAAAGCTTACATTACATAATATCGCCTAACTAAATGATGTCTACACATTATAATTTTACATACTTTAACATATTTTTTATATTACATATCCTTCATATCCTTAGATTGGTCACTTTCCACGTTACATCCACAAATAACACAGGGTTAACATAATAAATTTCATAATGCTAAAAGCAGAAAAATGAATTTACTTACTACGATACCTATTTACAATGAAGCTTAATATAATAATCACAATTACTCAATACCGTACACTATTAATATCTAAAACTTAATTATCTACTTTTTAATTTTTGAACAAACATACTGTATGTACAATAATTCTTTGGCTTAAATATGAATGATTACTTACCTTATGTTAATTCTTGCTATAATATAATATGAATTACGCGTTGACTAGTAAATTTGAATATCATACAAACTACGCATGTTGAGCGCGACCGAGGTGGATGAAGAATGCAACGCGATCCGGACTTCTTTCCCCACATTTGTTACACATAAACGGATCATTGTAGCCATGGAATCCCATGTGTATAGTGTGCATGGTGAGATCTCCGAAAGTAATGTCACAGTATTGGCAAGAGTATGCTGCGGGGACTGTTGTTTGTTCTGATGCATCAGATTCCTCACCGGAGCCTTCTGGTTCAACTTTGCTATCTTCGTGTTGAAGTCTCAAAGCCGCTGGTTGCAATTTAAACGCACGACCTTTTCTTCTGTTCTTTAAAGTAGTGGGCGTGACAGGTGCTGGACGTTCTGTGGGAGGTGGTGATCCCGCTTCACTAGTTTTAGTGTTTGTCAGGTCAAGAGCATCATTTCCTTGTGGGGGAGAGTGCATAGGTCTAGAGGGAGTTGGCGTTTGGGGAAGGCTTACTGGCGATTTAGTAGGCGGTGGTGTTACATTTGTTTCTGGAATTTCACCGTAGGACAACCGCTTTTGTAGTATTGATTGAGGAGACGGCGCCTTTTCCGGAGGCATCTCACTAACTTTTGGTGAAGCATTCTGTTCGTAATTGTTATTCGGTGGGAACAGAAATGAGTGAGGTAGAAGTGGAGGTAAATATGGCAGGTTGACAGGAAAGTGACTTCCAAAGAGAGGGTGCGACTGTGGAGACTGATGTTTCACATTATTATTAATTTGCTGCTGTTGTTCATACATTTTCATCATTGGCTTTTGTTTTGGGCCTCGACGGGTGCCATAAACATCGATTATTGGGAGAGGGTTTGGAGTTCCATCCATGTTCAATACCATGGCTGGATTATGTTTATACTTGCGTAAATGCAACTTGAGAGAGTGGCAGTACTTTGTAGCGTAGTTACAATCAGCGCATCTATATTGATAAATATTCGAATGCGATTTTAAGTGGGAATTCAACATTGATTTATTTACACAAGAGTAAGAGCATTGAGTGCATTGGAATGGTTTCGATCCCATATGATTCCTCATGTGATATTCAAGGTGGTGTTTATATTCGGTTACAAATGGACACTTTCTGCAAGTAAGCATTTTTTCAGGCTTAATGTGTTCTTTACTGTGTTCCCAGAAGCTGAGCTTTGTAACTGCTACAAACTCACACTGTTTGCATTTGAAAGTTTTCACTTTTCCATGAGAGTTAACTGCTGGCACACGAAGACCTGGTTCATCATCGAAATCTTCTTCTAGGCCTGATCCATCTCGACCGTCATCAGCTTCAGGCTTATTTTGGCCCATGCCATCGAACCCAGAGTCATGAAATCTATCGAAACGTCTCTCATGATCTCTTTCAGGAGAAGAAGGTGTTCTAGGTGGCGACTTCGGAGGCGTAGCATCATTTCGTGCTAAAGGTGTAGAAATGTGAGCTGGCGGTGCGAGTGAACGTGGAGAATACGCGTCATATGGAGATGGCTCGCATTCTTCATTGTTTCTATGTTCAAAGCCAGGTGGTGTTAGAAGACTGTATGGTAAGCCATTACGATAAGACTCCAAATGCATTCCTAGATTCGCTTTAGCTTTTAATGACATATTGTCGTAGTATGGTGAAGGATCACCAGAGCTTCCAACGCTACGAGGAGAGTGGCCATTGGAATCTTTGCTTGAAGATGATGGAGAGGCACTGTGGAATCCTTCTGAATAGAAGCCGCTTGTTTGTTCTTTTGAGAAGCTACCTTCCTCCATAGGTTCCGTTTTCTAGGAAAAAAATTAAGCTTAGATAACTTTTATCTTTAATATATTACTTAATTAAATGTAGTTTTATACATAATTCACATATGAGGTTAATGGTAAGTACTAATTAATTATAAACTCGATTAAATTTAGAAAATTATCTAAGGATGCATCATTATATTAAATCGGTTCTTTTGATGTAATCTTAATGTGTTAGTTTTTATTAGATATATTTTAATAAAATAAATAAAAAATTTGATAATTATAAAAAAAAAAACTTAATATATGAGCACGGATTTTTCAGACAATGCCTAATGGTACACGTATTAATTATGATGATGATATTATTATATTTGTTTTATATCAAAAGTAACTTACAATGACTGGCTGTTGCATCAGGGAGGCCCAGGCTTGAGCGTGTGGCGCGGGCGGCATGCCGGCGGGGGAGGCGCAGCTTAGCATACCTAAAGTAAAAATGTTATTTCTATTATTTGTTGCACAATTTAATTGTATTTATAATTAGGTATTAAAATTTGTCCTTTCTTTTACATCAATATTAAAAAATGTACATGTCAAATGACATTTTTTCTTGCATGCCAACCGCGAATTTAAATGATTCGTAGAAAAAATTTGCTAGCGCGGCAAATCGTTAAAAAAATGTAATTCCTCGGTCACGTATCTACTGCGCTGTTGCAATCGTTTTAATTAAATAATAATTAACATTTTATAGTATTCTCAAAGGTTCCGACAGCTATTAAGGCTAATTATGTGTTTTGTTTTTGATGTTTGGATATTTTTTTAATTTTATATATATATATATATATATATATATATATATATATATATATATGTGTGTATAACAACAATATTTCTAAAATTATAAATACTGAAATATACCGTTAACTTCATTTATTAACTATAGTAATATCAAGATTATTCACAGATTATTTATCAAATGATTTAAAAAATATTATAACTTAAAAACTACCAAAACACATGACTAAAATTCACTTGACTTCAAAGTATATAAAAGAAAAAAAACTTATATACTTATACGTAAAATATATTAGCATATACTGCTACATACCTTCCCCTTTTTATTGAGTAATGTTAGTAAACACAGGTGACACACACGAACATATAAAATACAACTTCACAATTTTTATTTCACTTGATTCACGAACGTAAAAGCTTATAAGAGACAACCCTTCGTCGGAACAGATGAGACCGGTGTGACTTCGTCAGCGTCTCACAATGAACTGAAAAAAATCTGTCAATTTTTATGCCCCAAACATCGATAAATGTATTCTATATTTGAACGGTATGAGTTTTCTGTGAGAGGGATGGCATACTCCACAGATACACGCGTCCTTTTCTCACCCCCTCCTATTTTTAGCAGAACCAATACGCGGCTGGCTACTGTGGGTGGGGATCAAGTTATTAAGTTATTGTTTTTGCGATATCTAATATTATAAATGCGAAAGTTTAGATGTCCGTTATTTTTATTAAGGTTAAATATATATATATATATATAAATCATAATTTCTCTTAAATACTTAGATATGATTAATATTAAAATAACCGGCCAAATAAATTGTTTACAACAGATCTATGTCAAATATTAGAGATGTTAGTTAATAAAAAAAAACACGTCGACGCGACGATAAAGTAATAATTTTTGTTGTTTCGGTTATTATGCGGCTATATACAGCAGGGATATAGGCAAATGAGACTGTTTTCCCATTGTGCTTCTAAATGCGATAATGAAATATTTATGTTTATTTGTTACTGTACTTTCATTAAGGATTAGGGTATTAGGGATAGTAATAAAACTATATTGGTAGCTAAAAACGTTCGGCATTATTATTATGAATGGGAATACTTTCATGTGGTTTAATTGTATTTACGATTTGTAAAGTAAATAAGTGAAAATATAGATATATAACAAATATTATTTACTAAGTCAGACCTTGTTTTGAAGATTTTTTTAACTTCAAAGCAAAAACTATTCAAACAGCATCGTAAAATCTAATAGATATATAACTCTATTATCTGACCTATCAAATACATATAATATATAACTTAGTATATATATACTACATATATACCCCTGACTGTTCCCTACTTCTATTTTTATACGCGCGTAAAAAATAGTGTAATAAAAAACGTTTTATAGGGTAGGCCGCATTGCGAGGGGCGTTGAGCTTTTTACGGCGCCATCCGACCAATCACACAGCCGTTTAAAAAAGGAAAGCCATATATAAACTTTTTTAGATTTTACATCAATGTAACCAATCAGAAATTCGATTTCGTTTCATGGGCAGCTTTTGAAATGGCTAGCATTAAGGTAGCAATTTCATACATTATACGTACTTTTGAAAATAATTGGTTATTATTATGATTATTATTGGTAAATTTTTGTATGATAAACGCATAGTATGTACTATGTGGGCAATAGTGTCAGCACGACGGGATTTTTTTATCATTTGTTCTAAATATTCGCCACATATCTCAAATGGTGCGTCTTTGATGATTTAAACACTATATTTTCGAAGCATACCTATATTATTAGAGCCAAACTGGTTATGAGTTACAATCGAACTGCACTTGTTTTTTCTTTTAATTTTAAATTTTATACATAGGTATTATTTCTACAAATTTATAGAAAACTAGCATTGCCCGCGGCTCCGCCCGCGTTCTGGTGACCAAAAACCAAATTCTTAGGTTTTACATATAGTATACTCTTACATTGCAGTTTTTGTATTTTTTCTCAGAAATGAGACATTTTATAACCAGCTATCATCATGTCAAATTTCATTATAATCCGTCCAGTGGTATTCTCGTGATGCGATCTCAGACAAACAGATAGACAAAAATTCTAAAAGCTATAAATTCGGCCTCTGTATCGATAATAAATAATAATGTCTATTTCAATAAGATTTTCCAAAAAATATTTAATGTACACACTTAGTTACAATTTTATTATATGTATAGATACAGAACAATACGGAATAATTCTGTGACATCGTATTGTGTGTTAACCAATCTACTTCTTAAAGTAGATGGTTTAAAAAAAGAATCAAGCAAATCTCACTGAAGGCAGAGAGCTTTGTGTTAACAAAAAAATGGTGTAAAAGAAGTACGGTCTCTGTGCCACAATGTTAATTATTTTTGGCTAAAATGTTTATAGTTAATTGTGAATAAAATATCTAACTAGTTATTTCTATTATGTAGGTATTGTTATTTGCCTGCGCAGTTATGGAACCGGTAATCAAATATGGATACGTGTTGTGTGCCGGCGTCCATTACAAAACACTTTTCATATTAATGTTTGGATAATTAGAAGTCTATTATTATGAAATGTTAACAATTATAAAATCATGCTACTATTATAAATTTGAAAGTTTGTTTGTTTGTCATTACTCCTTCCCGCTGAAACGGCTGACTGATTTGGATAAATTTTGAGTACACAGATAGATTATAAACTAGATAGAGTACGTAATACATAGGCTATGTTAAAAGTGGTTTTACCTGTTATCTTATATTAAATGTGATATGAGATACAAAAGCAAATCTATCCCACGGGAACCGTACATTTTTCCGGGATAATAGGTAGCCTATGTGCTATTCCTAACTGTAATCTATGTCTGTGTCAAATTTTATCCAGATCCGTTCAGCCGTTCTTGCGTGATGGAGTAACAAACATCCATCCAAACATCCAAACGCGAAGCAAGGTGACAAAGTAGAATATTTTCCTGGTTAGTTCAAATCATAAAAAAATTGAATACACATACCCTCTAGAATTTTAAATACATATTTTATAGGTCTACGCTTTATTTTTATATTTTATAATTATTTATGTTTATTTATAATACTTATGTGTTATTTTAACATATTCAAAAATATTATTATAATGTCAACTTTTTATGATCATAAGACAAAAGAAATCACTTTTATCTAACCCATTAACGTTTCTTACTAAATGGGGGAGTTTTTAAATGTTTTTTAATTGATAGCGGGTTTTTTTTCAGAATAGATGTTTAATGTTCCTTTATAGTTTAATGTATATTTTCGTTCTTGTACAAAACTAAAAAAAAAAGCAACTGGCAGAATAAGTACAATATAACGTTTTTACTTTTAATATACCTAGTGCCTCTAGGCAATAACAGTAACCTATACGTGTTACTTCAGGTAATCTGGTCATCCATTTGCTTTGAAACTTTTACATTTATAATTGAATTCCGATTGATAAAAAATTATCCGGCTTCATATTTTTACTTATTTTTAATACGGTTTTTTTCAAAATAACATGAATTTTCTCGTTAATCACTTTATTTTATACAAAAATACTTTTTACTCTTAAGTTGGGTTCATCATTAAAAAGCGTGTTTTTTAGTTTTTTAAACTATAATTTATTTAATTATTTTTTCTTAAGACTTAGGAACACTAGGTAGCGACGACAATTTGTCTGTAGTTAATGTATCAAAGCTAATAGCGCCAAAGATTGTTGGCGAGGATTGAGATTGATGATCACATTATCAACTTCTAGGTTTGACATTATTTTTACGCCACCGTATAATATATTTCTTATATAAAATCTTATGCATTTTTTTTGTTATTAATTGTTAAAGAATCACGTAATATAATGCGTAAGTATTCTGTAAAAAAACATCTTGCTACGTATCCATTTCAAACGCCCTTTATACATAAACTAGACAGAACAGGCTAAAAATGAATAAATTGTTATGAAGATATATAGTATATAGATAATAATGTTATAAAGATTATATTGTTATATTATATCGGCATAATGAGATAGAAATAGCCAGTATATAATTAAAATAAAGCAGTGATAGCCCATTGGAACCACGCTCGCTTTGGACACCAAGGGGCTCGCACTTCTGATATTCCATCTACAAATCACATTTTCCACATAATTAGGTTCTCTTTTACTGCTAATATGAGGAAACCTGTATGTCTGAGAGTAGCTAACAAGCTTTTGAAAGACATGTAAAGTTCAAAAACTTGGATTTGACCAGCATGATGGACTGCGATAAAATTCATCTCGGTTAAAGCATCTTCCCGTGCCGTTATTTTAAAATGCTGGAATTAAAATTGTGATTTTATTATGAATCATATATAATTAATTTGATTATTACTTTTGTGATACGACTTCACTTGCGCTCATATTTGTTTTTTTTTTAAATTACTAGCGACCTCCCTAGGCACGTTTTAACGGTTAGTATGGACACGGTAATGTAATTATTACCGTGGTATGGATTTCCTACATGAATCGTACATTTTTCCGGGATAAAAAAGTAACCTACATGCTATTCCAGACTATAATCTATCTCTGTGCAAAATTTCATCCAGATCCGTTCACCCTTTCTGGCATATAAGAGTAAGTAACAAACATGCATACATCTAAATTTTACTATTTATAATATTTTAATGATCGAATT